CACACTATTTTCTATGCATCTCTCCCTCTATCTGTCTCCTTCTATTCTCTCTCCCTATTTCTGTCCTTTTCTGTTTCACGTTCCTGTTGAGTGGCAGATGGCAAAGAAGAAAATCGACAAGGTCCAGAGGCGGAGAATCACTCTATTTTATTTTGAAATGCGAAGCAGGTGGGGGGTGTGTGCGTGTGTGTTTATTTAAGTGCACATGAGACAGACAAGAAGCTAACACCATTAGAAAAGATCAGAAATCAAATGACACCAGGTCATAGTCCAACAGGTTTATTTGAAAACACAAGCTTTCGGAGGCTCCATCCTTCTTCAGGTGTTAGTGAGGGAGGTAATATCAGACACAGATTTTATAAGTAAAAGATCAAAGTATCACACCATTGATGAGGAAGTACTAAACAAACCTAAGATGCTGTTAAATCTTTAATCAGTTAGACAGTTTTAATTGATATGTATATATAAATCCCTGGATTCCAAACTAAAACACAAACAGATTCTAAACAAGGCTTCACACCTAACATGCATTGTCTGACCTAAAATGTCAGCTCTTCTTTATACTGATAAAGCCTTTAGTTCTCTCAGGACCGTGACTTGAAATGAATTTGGGGATTAACATATACATCTTAATCATTTAAAACCTTCTAACTGATTAAAGATTTAACAGCATCTTAGGTTTCTTTAGTACATCCTCAACAATGGTGTGAACCTTTGATCTTTTACTTATAAATTCTGTGTCTGATACTACCTATCTCCCAAAACCTGAAGGAGGACTGAGGCTCCAAAAGCTTGTGTTTTCAAATAAACCTGTTGGACTATAACCTGCTGTCATGAGATTTCTGACCTTGTTCACCCGTGTCCAACACCAGCACCTCCACAGCATTAGAAAAGGAGGAAACATGTTGTGAGAAAAATCCACATTCTAATTAACAAATAAATATATCATCCTTAATTTCTCACACCAATTAATTAACCTCTAATCACAAGAGCAGAGCCTTTTGCAAAATGGAATAGCACAGTGCTATCGAAGTCAGAAGTCAACCTAAATTATAAGATGGGTCACTTCAGGTCTGTAATTCAGTTCAACTCCTATCATGACTAAATAGTCATATCTAACAGTCACTTGGCACGCAGTTTGAAACGTTCATTATTCCCTCGTTTGATATCGTACTATCTTCCCTTAGACAACATATTTTCTCAGCTGAGGGTCAACTCTTAACTGCTCCCAGGCAGTTAGTAATACATCCAGATTAAACCCAAGAATGCAAGGTGTAGAGCTGGATGAACACAGCAGGCCAAGCAGCATCAGAGGAGCAGGAAAGCTGACGTTTCGGGCCTAGACCCTTCTTCAGAAATGGGGGAGGGGAAGGGGGTACTAAAATAAATAGGGAGAGAGGGGGAGGCAGATAGAAGATGGATAGAGGAGAAGATAGGCGGAGAGGAGACACAGGTCAAGGAGGCGGGGATGGAGCCAGTAAAGGCGAGTGTAGGTGGGGAGTTAGGGAGGGGATAGGTCAGTCCAGGGAGGACAGACAGATCAAGGGGGTGGGATGAGGTGAGTAGGTAGGAGATGGGGGTGGGGCTTGAGGTGGGAAGAGTGGATAGGTGGGAGGAAGGACAGGTTAGGGAGGCGGGGACAAGCTGGGCTGGTTTTGGGATGCGGTAGCGGGAGGGGAGATTTTCAACTCCCCCTCCCATTCCTCAGATGACATGTCCATCCTGGGCCTCCTGCAGTGCCACAATGATGCCACCCAAAGGTTGCAGGAACAGCAACTCATTTCGCTTGGGAACCCTGCAGCCCAATGGTATCAATGTGGACTTCACAAGCTTCAAAATCTCCCCTCCCCCAACCACATCCCAAAACTAGCCCAGCTTGGCCCGCCTCCCTAACCTGTCCTTCCTCCTACCTATACCCTCCTCCCACCTCAAGCCCCACCCCCATCTCCTACCTACTAGCCTCGTCCCGCCCCATTGACCTGTCCGTCCTCCCTGGACTGACCTATCCCCTTCCTAACTCCCCACCTACACTCACCTTTATTGGCTCCATCCCCGCCTCCTTGACCTGTGTCTCCTCTCCGCCTATCTTCTCCTCTATCCATCTTCTATTCACCTCCTCCTCTCTCCCTATTTATTTCAGAACCCCCTTCCCCTCCCCCATTTCTGAAGAAGGGTCTATGCCCAAAATGTCAGCTTTCCTGCTCCTCTGATGCTGCTTGGCCTGCTGTGTTCATCCAGCTCTACACCTTGTTATCTCAGATCCTCCAGTATCTGCAGTTCCTACTATCTCTAAACCCAAGAATAATTCAGATAGGCTTTTCAATTCATTTTCTCTGCTTCACTTTATGAATGTACTCCAACAAAGTGACGAAGACCACGTAGAGGGATTATGATCTTAAGACTTTTGTTTAAAAAAACTCAATGGTACAAGTACTGTTCAGAGTACAAGATCAATGTACATTGAGAAAAAGTCAAACATGATCAAAAAAAGCATGATTTTCTCCTGTCAAACCAAGAAATTACTAATTTTGCTCATGAACTTGTTAGGTACATTGTTATTTTGCATACATTGCACATCTACAGAAACAAATTTCAAAATAACTAAGAACTTGTTAGAAAAGAATTCAATTGACATTAAAAAAAGAGCAGAAGAGCACTTTGCTTGCTACTGTCTAAGTAACCATTTGGATGTGAAGATTTACCTTATGCAGATAATGTTGATCTTTGTTCTTGGATTACCAAATGGATTTGGGTTTTTTTTTTAATGAAATTCTAACTTTTCAGCACAAGAAAGATTACGATATTATACCAATGCTCATTAACTACCGATACAGTCAAAATGCTGAGCTGCTTTTACTTTCATTGCATTAAGAGGGATTGTACCGAGTTTTATTTTAGAAAACGTTCAGTACTTGCTTCTAGAGGTAAAGCAGGATCCACCATAAAACCTAGTGTCAAATACTGTGGATACCAGAAATAAAAACAAAGCGCTGGAAATACTCAGTAGATCATCATCTCTGAAGAGAAAAACAGAGATAACACTTCAAGTCGAATATGACTTCTTCAAACTGCTGGCAGTCTGTTTGAACTGTGGAGCAGCCTGATCTCAGCTTACATCCCAGACATGAGGTTACTGTGCATATTACATGTCCGTTTACTGCTCTCCCCTAGTTGCCCTCAACTAGTTGCTGTCAATTAGGGGTGGAAAACCTTCCCAGTTTGGAAACATGATGGAAGATTTTACAATGCTTTTCAATGGCCTGCCCAAGATGAACAAACAAGCCACATACCACAGGTCAAATTGAGAAACTGCCTGTTCTGTATGACTCAGTATTATCTGACACGGAAACCTATAACGAATTGCACCAACACCAAATACGTACTTGTAAAGTGCAAAAGGACTATCATTTGTAAAATATGATGAAATAAGCACCCTCACTATGATCAAATTGGAACATAGGATTTAGCAGCAGGAGTAGGCCATTTGGTCCTTTCAGCCTGTGCCACCATTCAACAAAATCATTGTTGATGTGGTTAGGGTCTCAATTCTACTTTCCCATCCACCACCCATAACTCTCAGTTCCCTTGCATATCAAAAACCCATAAAAGAACTTTAGCTGGCTTCCATTTTAGGATAATGACATAGATGGCATGCTTATTAGTTAATGGTGGCATTTTGGCTGCGACATTAGTGCGACGTGTGCATCACTAGACAGGCCAGTATTTACTGCCCTTCCCTAGGGGCCCTCAAGAAGACAGTGATGAACTATGTTCTTGAACCATTGCGGTCTATTTGGTTTCAGTAGACCCACAATGCTGCTGGAAAGGGAGTTCCAGCATTTTCATCCAGTGACATTAAAGTTACGGTGATATATTTCCAAGTCAGGGTGGTGAGTGCCTTGAAGGCGAACTTGCGGGTGGTGGTGTTCCCATGTATCTGCTGCCGTGTCCTACCAGGTAGAAATGCCTGGAGTTTGGAAGAAGGTGTCTAAGGAGCTTGGTGAATTTCTGCAGTGTATTGAATTTCTTGTAGATGGCACTGCTGCTACAAAACGTCGGTGGTGGAAGGAGTGAATGTTTGTGTATGTTGTGCAAGTCAAGCTTTGTCCTGCTTGGTAACAAGCTTCTTGAATATTATTGGAGCTTCTCTCATCCAGGCAAGTGGGGAGTATTCCATCACACTCCTGACTTTTTGCCTTGTTGACAGTGGATAAGCCTTGGGGAGCCATCAGGTAAGTTATTTGCTAAAGTATTCCTAGACTCTGACCTGTCTTTCTTGTCACAATATTTGCATGCTAATCACAGGATGTTAATACTGGTGGATTCAATGATGAAAATGCCATTGTTAAGGGGCAATGGTTAGATTCTCTCTTGCTGAAGATGGTCATGGCCTGAAACTTGTATAGCATGAATATTACTTGTCACTAGTCAGCCCAATCTTTGCTGCATTTGGACTTGGATTGCTTCAGTATTTGAGGATTTGTGAATGGTGCTGAACATTGCACATTTATGAGTATATGTTCCCACTTCTGACCTTAAGATGGAGGGAAGGTCAATGATCAGTGCCTGACCCAGTCTAGGCACACACACCAGACCATTCACAAGTCAAAATCTTTGGCTGATGCTATTAGACGATCTTTTTGCAGCTCTCAGTTGGGGTATTAGAATTATCACATAATTGGATAAAGAAAAAGTGAGCTGAATTTCCCATCCTTTTTTGATACCCAATGATGCATCATGGAAAGTGCACATCTGGTGAGAGCAGTGTCAGAGTGAGCTGAAAATAAAACCACATTTCTTTCTCTACTTCATATGCTAAAATTCACAAAATTTATATATGAAGGTGAATGCTTTAGATAATGTAACCAAATATTGTTAGTATCATGAAACTGTATTTCAGGTAAGACAACATCTTCAAGTAAGCAGAGAACATAACTAGACAGGAAAAATTGCTTGAAATCTGCATCGATTAAAGGCAAATTCATATGTAGGTGACTTACCCGAGTTCGATCCTCAATCCCATAGATATGAAGTTGCATAGGAATATTAAAGCTGTGCAGGAAATTTCCACCGAAAACCAGCGTATCTACTGGCGTGTATACGGCATGGATCCATCCTAAATGTAGAGTGATATCACTTGTGAGCTTTGTTGTAGCTTTTCAGATTTTCTGTTAGATAATTTAGAAAAGTTTTACTGAAGCTATTAAACAAGTACCCTAACTGACACTTACCATTTAAGGGATCGGGTAAAGAATAAAGACTTGGAAAAGTATTAAATGGCCATTAGCAACTGTACCCAAAAGGAGAGGGGCTAAGGTACATTGGAAAGAGTCATAAAAATTATATTTTTAAATAGATCATTGTATCGGAGAATTCAATAAATTGAAATAAATGAAAAGTCTCCATGTTGAGGGGATAAGTTATGACAATTAGACGCAGCCTGCTGGCCAATTCCCATAATGATCTCCTCTTATCTAGTCCATACAGCTCACTGGTTCAGCGTGCAACATTAATTTGTGCAGCTCTTTAAACCAATCATGGTGCAGTATTTCTCAATGCAACAAATTCAGAATTTAAATTTTTTTTAAAAATTTCTAGGCTTCTGGAGAGGAAGGAAAAGGAGAGAAAAGCGGCAGAGAGGAAGACACAGGACGCAGGATTTGGGATGGAGAGTTTTTTTGGATGGATGAAAGAAGGCTTACTTTTTTGTATACAGGGTTTTTTTTTGCATAGGAATTTTGCTGCTTCTGTTGAGGAATTCCACTTTATGTATTTTTGAAAATCTCATATTTGGAGATATGTGGGAAAATCTTACAATTTTGTACAATTAGTCTCATGGAAATTGCAGCTTCCTGATAGTATCTGCTATACATTTCTCATTTCCCTGCTAAATGAGTGGACTTCCCTATCCTAATTCACTGTGCAATCAAGATCCCAAAGCAGTTCTGTGAGCACCATCGATTATCTACATTGATCACAAACAACTGTAAATTTCACTTTATAACTGCAGTTATATTTTTAAACAAAAACAATTATCTATCACACACAGACTGCACCACAAATATAAGCAATGGTGATACGGCTGCACGACAGGAAGCTGGTTGGCATTTATTTTGTTATCATATAACATTACTGACTGAAGTCAGGATCTGACGAACATAAGGTAAGCAACGAAGACAATACATAGCCATAGGTGGCCACCTACTCTTCAGCATTGCACGATGAAAGTTCAATGGCATGTAACAGACAGGCTGTGAAGGCTTTGGGTCTATAGAACATAGGCTACATCTGAATCAGGACAGTAGATATTTGTATAAAAAACATGATGTATTTCCCCTGCTATTAAAGCTAGACATTTCAATAAAGAAAAGAAAAATTGAAGTAAAAAACAAAGTACAAAGTACATTCTCAGCAAAATGCACTTCAAAATTATAGACATCAGTAGTTAATACCTCTTCTCAATGATTTACTAATGTTTTTAGAATGTGCCATTGCTCATTAATCAACAAGGTACCTCAATGTAATAATGGCAGTATCCAAATCAAGCAGGACGCTTATAAATTATTACTGCACATGCACACTAACATAAGATATGAGATTAGAGGAGTAAATTTTCTTGCAAAGATTTCAACCACTTTATTGAATATGACAGGAAGTGCCATTGCATTAAAAACTGTGCAGCAGGACGAATTGTAAAGATACACTGCTATCAGATTATTTTTAAATGGGCAGCAGTCATGTCACATGAAAATGCATAGAAATGTGCATGATCATTTGGAATTGCTCGTCTCAAGTCATTTGACAACAGAGGAAATAGCTATTAGGTAGATGTTAAAGGAAGCAGCTTTTCCACAGATTCACAAATGGAATAAGACAGATGAGATTTCATTTCAAAACTAAATTTTCAAACACTAAACTACAGGAAAATAAAAAGCTGACCCTCCTCCTAAAATAATTCAAGTCAAACTGAATGAAAAATGCTCTTTATCTTCTCTTACACATGATATTCAGCATGTTACAGTAAGACATTAAATAACAACATCAAGAATATTTAGAAATACAGCAAAGATAATGCTGAGTAACATCACTGCCTGTGATTATTTTAGATAATGCTACCAGCTATTCAGACAGTACAGAATGATTCAGTGAGTGATTTATTTACAGCACTTTCTCCACCACAACTGTAGCATGACTCAAAAGGGTAGCACACAAAGCAATGTCTCCTTTTTTTCACTGCACTAAGGTTGTATCCACCTGCAATCCCATCCTCCTCTAATCCACAGACATAGATAATGCAAAATGATGAATAACAAGTCGCTGTCTTCAGATACCTGAAGGGATCAAAAATGTGTATCCCTGTTTTAACTCAATCCGTTGGCATCCGTCCACTCTGTCCCCAAGGAAAATATCACCTTGCTTTCCCGACAGGACCCACTCTTCATAAATCTCCAGATTGTGCGATGTAGGGGGAACTAACCAGAATACCTGAATGAGACAGACTGCTTATAAAACTGAAACTCTTCAGAACAACCAAAATTTTACACCATTATAGATCTTAAATATGTCATTGCATTTTTAAGCTAAATAGTCCATCAGCTGTTTAAAACATCACAGACAAAATAAGATTCCATTTTAAATTGTATTTTTTAATGCTATTACATGCAGCAATGGCCCACATGATTCCATTTGAAAAAAGTGCTTATGGATTAATACAAACCTTCAAACTTCTGAATAAATTACAAAATACTAATGAAGGTTTGAAAATGCCAAATACTAGTTTTGAAATGTTTATGTGGCTCAAGACTGCAATATGAGAACAGAATCTACACTGAGAAAATTCAAGACTAGATAGAAAGATTTTTAATCAGAAAGGGAAGCGAGGATTATGGAGAAAAGACAAGAAAGTGGAGTTGAGGATTATCAAATTAACCATGATCTCATTGAATGGTGGAGCAGACTTGATGGGCTGAATGGCCTAATTGTTCTACATCTTTTGAACTTACATGCATTATAATACAACAATATTAAATACAGACTTTAAAGAGATACAAAGAGATATACAGATATTACATTGTAAAAAGTTATATATAGTATTAATAGTAGCCATTTACATCAATGGCCCCATTATACAATTTCTTAAGCAACCCAGATTGTGACTTCTTTCCAAGATCACCCAGAGGCATCAGTGGGGGAGAATGACTGGGCACTATATGCCATTTCTGGTTGTGGATGAACTGAGTATTCAATAATAACAAGTGATTATTTGATATAAAGGAGTATGGAGACAGGTCAGATCACTGCACAGCACATCCCGACAACATTTACTCCTCCACTTTCCAAACTACCACATTGAGACACTGTGCTATCAGGAAGTAAGAAAATTTCCTATTTGTATTGCCCACAGTGAGGAGCACTGTTAATTCAGCAAGGGAGAGACCAAACTTTACAGCTAAAACGGGGATGGGGTGGGAAGAAGGGGTGCAGTGGGAGAGGGCAGAAGGAACGAGACAGAGAAACAAAAAAAAAAACTCGGAAATGTAATGTAATTACTCTCATTAGATCAGTAATAAATTTTAATGTTAATTCAGGGAGCAGACTGTCTGGTCCCAGGGATTTCAAAAAAGGAAGTGACAAAATAGATCAAAAATCCTTTGAAAAATGCAATTTATTTCAAAGAACCCACCCAAATGACTGCTCTGTGACGCTCTGACTATATGTAAGAAAAATATGGCAGCAACTATGGAATCACTTTGCAGGTGACATTAATTTTCATGTGTCACAGTAATAAAAACTTGAATTTATATAGTGCCTTTAATATACAAAACACATTTGCAAAATATAGGGTATAGGATTTCCAATTTCATTGATTGTAATGAAATCAAAAAGTTATTAGAACATCTTTTATTTCACGATAAATAGCAAATGGTGATAATCTTATTCCAAAGTACTTTGCAGTAATTTGCAACGTTGAGTAGATAACTTGACTTGTTGGCTACTTTACAGCAACCTGATTACAAAACTACTATCTCAGAAACTGAACAGGTTATAGGTTTCTGGGTCTTTGACATTTGGAGCATTCTACAGATAAAGTTGGTCATGGTTGGCTTGTAATTTGCACTTCCATCACACTCCGATAGAACATCTTGCTTCTGTCAATCAGCATATGAAATGTGGACAGTTATGATGTACATACTTGTGGAAGTACACAATTCTCCATTTCATGTTAGCTAGCTTACTCAAAGATCAAGATAATGAAATCGCCAAATCCACAGGACCAGAATGAAAACCCAGTTCGTAAAGCTAAATTACTAAACTCTGCAGCTCAGGTTCCACTATCTAAATGAGCACAAAAATGGCACTCTCAATTAAGTCAAATTGTTTAACAAATTAATATTTTATAACAGCAAAGATGCATGATTACCATAAGAAGTCATATTCAAAAATATATAAAGATTTGGTTCATTTTTGGGGAAAGCAAAATTGCTACATTTCTCCACTTCATTTCTGGAACCAGTAACTTTTGCTGGGGGCACATTTTCACAAGTGTTTCCAAAACTCATTTAACTAACTATTCTTCATGCAAAAACGTAGACTATGAGTATCAAAAGACTTTGTTACTCGGAGTGGTATAATGAATATCACAGTCAAGTATATCCTATCCTAACTAATATCCAAACATTTTGCTTTCTAGGGATCACTGGAGAAGTGGTCCAATTACTTTTCCAAATCAATTAATTCAACACAGTCTGTGAATCAAACCTTGGATCTTCCTAGCCACGATTCTACAAAGTGAAGCCCTTACCCACAAAGGAAACTTTGGTTTTAATTTCTTGTACATCAAAAACCAAAGGGGTTAATCTTTTTTGTCCCAAAAACGTTCCTCTCATTTGTTAATCCATGTTTAATATAATCCTTGATTTAAAATAATCACAAAATGAGCAGTTATATACACAAACCATTCAATTTTAAACCTCACTAAATTTAAATAAATAATAATAGTTTCAGATACCAGAAATAAACGAGTGCTTCACTGCTCACCTTCCCTCCTCGAAGAATATGATACCAGACAGAAGTGCCACCAAAATCAATATGAAAATCTGTGTAGCACCCTTTGACGCTCATTAAGCAGTACCTGCAGAGAAAACATTTAACAATTAATCACTTCAGGCTTTAGCAATCAGCAAGTTGTTGACCCATATGAGGATTCAATCATAACCAAGAACAGCAGCAAGTAATGTCCTCTAATGACATGATGGAGGTCAACAAGGACAGACGTTTAATACAAAGGTGTTTGATTCGAACATAACTATACTACACAATAATTCTAACAAATTTAAGGATAAGTTTTTCTTATTTTTGGGTCTCAATATTTTTTGCCCTCTAAGACAATTAGCAAATAATATATAATCCTCACTGCATCATGGAGAACCATATTGCAGGTGTGTTTCAAAGACTGGAATGAAATTGATATGATGGATATTGTGAGAAAGATGGATCAACTTGCAAATGGAAATTAATCATTAATTAGACGGTAATAATATGTTCAAAGTACACTGAATCAGAGGGGCAAAGAAAAAAAGAATAGGTTAATGTTTAAGAAACTTTGGTTAATCTTTTATTTTTCACAAAGGGATAATTATTCTGGAATACATCTCATAAATGCAACATTCAAACTGAAAACAAAACAAACTCTCAAGTTTAAGATGCAAATATGTTCATGGAAAATAACTAAGTGCTCTCCTAATACCTCCTCAATTGGAAGGAGTACACTTACAATAAAATTATTTCTATCTAGTAACATACAGCTTCCACTTGTACACACCTAAAGTAGTTGTAGAATTCAGTTAGCAAATTTATGGCCCACAAACAAATGTGAACTTTACCATCTTTGTGTGTAAAATAATTTTCTGCACTTCAATTCTATTGCACATCTGTACAGCAGCTGCACCCAATTTCACAAGTGAACAGAAAAAAAAATACAATTAGTCCTCTGGTTATACATACCAAATGGCAGGGTAAAACACTCACAAAGCAATTACATATCAACATTTATCAATTACACCTACAATACATACAATTATAGCTCAATATCTGCATATATAAACAAGTATTTCTTAATAAAGAAGAAAAATATGACTGCACATCTGTAGGATGATTAAATAAACCTGCTGCAAACATTTGCAGTCTTACACTCACTGCATGATTCCCCAGTCCTGTTAGGTTCAGCAGCAGCCATCAGCTGTAACTAATGGCTGAATCATACTGAACTGATGCTCCATGCACCTTACAAATAATTCAGCTGTTAATGTGAACCCACCATTACTCCAGTTGCTGCTTTTTGTGGGTTATGTTGTGTCAACGTTGCTGAACTCTTCCAAGGATCATTTATTACCTCATCTTCTCTTCACTTATTGCCTTCATTTTAGAGATGAAATCTAAGCGGTGTGCAGGCAATGCACACTCTCCTCTGCTGATAGGCTGTGAAGGACTGTACCAGGTGGCAACAGCAGCAGTCTGCGGATCAGAGCTGCTTCTGGTAAGGAGAAGTCCGCTGCCTAGCAACAGGATCCAGGATTGAGGTTGACAGAAAGATATGCACTGATGTCATGAAGACAGCTCAGGCAATTTACAGGGTCTAATGGTCTTTGTTCCCCGTTGTTACTATTACAGTTCTCCTGACTCAGCGACGGTAACTAGACCTTCCATGTTCCTTGCACAGCAATTGCCAGAGACATTCGAGTGCCCATCAAAACCACAACTTGTGTGAAGCTGCATAACCTATTTCAGGAAACAGACTAGCTTACATAACCATGATCTGTTATTTCACAATTAAAGAGGCAGACTCCTTGTAGTTTAGCCAATACAGAACAGTGGGTCAGGATCCACATTTAAGCTTGCAGGAATCAGTGCTCTGGATCTTAATTTTAATTAGAAATATTTCAGCTCACATCAGAAAATAAATAAAAGTACAATGATTTCTAATGTACTTCTAAAATCAACCTATCTCAATCCCTGAATCTGTTCTCAGAGAGTCCATTTTTATAACACAACTGCCATTTATGCAGTGGCATCTACAACTACTGCGTGCCTATCACATGTCTGTATAAAGCTCGAGTGAAGACAAATAATTTTTATACTGCATTTCATTTTGTCAATCAGATCACTTTGTATATTGCTCAAAATTTGTTTGTCTGAAACCCACTGCCAAGTTGCATTTCAATTACATTCACTGGGCTTCTCCATGACCTTAAAAAGGTGAATTAAGAGCTCTATCATTCACACAATGAACTGAAGCAATCAGCATTGCCAAAGAATATTTTTATGTTTCTAGTGCACGCGCGCACACACACACACCCCCAAATCAAACAGGAGGTCCACTACTGTCACAAATAGGTATACGGCTGTAATAATACATTTCAGAAAAGGCAACTCATACTCATATGCTTCCTGTCACAACAAATACAAACATTTCCACAGAAAATTAATTAAAATGACTAATACACCCAATACCTTAAGGAATGGAACAGTGAACTGGAAGTCAATTAGGCTTTTTGTCAGATCCAGGTGTCAGTTGAAGAGCTACGGGCACAGTAGGGGAACGTATTAACTTTATAGCAAGACTGGAAAGACAGTAGGGATTCCATCACATTTATTTAATGAGCACAATCTGCCAGTTTCTCCTCCAATCTTCCCAAGAGTACAAAATAAGGGATGTAATCTTATCTTAAGAACATTTAGCTCATTCAGATCAAGTTCCATTGTCCAGTATTTTAATAGAAACAGCCACACATTTATTTTAATGGCTGTGTGTTGAGCCTGTTACCACCACACAATTGTGGAGGTATAACAGGAATTCTTGTACTGAGTTGGGGAATCAGGCAACAAGAGAAACAAAAAAGTCAGCCACTGTTCCTCTTTTTGTTTAATATCCATTAATCCCCAATAAGTGCATTTGTGCGGATATTACATGAGGACAAGACTGAATCTCTCTGCGATGTCCATCTCGCAAGCAAACAGCTTGCCTTCACTCACTGTCCCGAACTGCATATAAAAAATGGCTGCTTCAGTTTGAGAAGGGAGAAAATCAGAAAAGAAAAGAAAATTTGAAGAAACGATATGTAGATGATGTCTTGTGACACTGTGGTCACATCCCTATTTCTGAGCTGGAAGCCCACACTAGGACTTGATGACCAAGGTGACCAAACAGGTAGAGTATCAGCTTGTAAATCCTATGACAGTGGCAGGGAGTAAAAGTGGGAGAGATATATGGTCATTAAAAACATGTTTAAGTGTGTGGTTAAGACAATCAATTCAATTGGTTTTGGCTTCCTTTATTGGCAGTTCTTTAGGACTGAATCAAATATTACAGTTACCTTTGGCCAACGCTTTTAAAATGTTCTAAGCATGTCTTGCTAAGATCTTCCTTTTCAAAGATGACAGGCCAGAAAAAGAGGGGAAAAAAATAGCAAGGTACTGTCTGGGATAACAACCCCCTTGTAAATGTTAACACCCAGAGAGCTTCTGTCCATTCAGATTACATTGCTGTTTCGTGTAAGCAAGACTAATACTTGTTATTTTATAGTCTTAAGGAGATGGATATCAAGTAAATCCAAAATGGATCACTGCATCTGTTCACTTATTTATTTGTTCAATAAATCTTATGGCAATTCTTAGTCAAAAGCCATAGTCTAAATGAATTGTTTATTCTACTAGATCCAGAAGCCAGGAAAATTAAATAATGGCACTTGATGTAAAAAAAAACAGTATTAGTGCTCAATTTCTCCTCAACCTCTAAGTTAACCACAAAGATAAGCATATTATGGGTTTTGTTTAGGTAGATAAAGGCATGAAAAGATAACGCAAGCCAAAAGGAATCTAAGACAGTGAACGTATAATGTTGCATTTACCTATTCAATTTTTTCATGCCAGAAATGCCTATAACAGAGTTTTTCACCACAAACTCATTCAAAGTTCCCAGATGATTCACTTTTTGTTGATCTGGTTAACAAACTACAGCTCCCCACGCACACCTCTGTAAACAATTTCTAAGAACATATATGTGATCAACATAGCTCTATACACAAGGCTTTCTAAGACTTGTTTTGTACATCTATTTCCTTTAAGGAAAATTACTTAGAACAAACTTCAAAAGAAACCTTTTAATGTTCAGAATTCTTTCATATTCAATTCAGAACATAAAATGCAAAACTATTCAACTTCTTCTGAGCAACGATCAGAAAGGAAAAGGGTTTCCTATGTACAAGCCAAGGTTCTGCAGCAAGCGTTCTTAAGAAAGGCAAATGCATCAGAACAGAAACCAATGTGTATAGAATAATCCAAAGCAGGCCTTTACATTCTGCATTCTATTTAATGCAATGCACCACCTAAATTTCTGTCACATTTCCACTTGCTCTGTTGAAACTCCTTGTTTACATAGGAAATACACTTCAAAAATTCCATTGAAGGGCTTTGTCTCCAAGAAGCCAAATGCTTGTGTTTATCAGGTTACTCTGTACCAGCTACATTGCTTTAAAGAAGAAACAGAAAATACCAGGACTAGCTTCTTAAAATAGCATTCAAGCAAGATAAGGTATATTTATTGCTGGAAAACCAACAGCCCAAGATTTTCTGGAAGAAATGACAACATTGTTCGCAGTATTGACTGTTATTTAGGATTAAAATTTATCAACCAAACATATACTCGAAGTTTTCTTCAAGTGAGTGAAGATAAACTCAAGTGGCTGGAAGTTGTTGATCAAGATGCACTGAGCTACTATAAACCATGTACAACACCAGGCTGTAGTCCAACAGGTTTATTTGTTGGACTGTAACCTGATGTGTGATTTCTGACCTTGTCCACCCCAGTCCAACAGCAGCACCTCCACATCATAAAGCACGTAGAAACAACACCTTGTCAGCTGGTTCCCCATTCAAATGGATGATAACATTGCTGTACCCATTGCACACACAGATTAAACTTGTCACAAAGTTAAAATTTCTCCATTTCAGTTTAAATAGTTTTTAAAAAAGTCTTTTGCTAAGTCTTCATTACTGTTGTGCATGCCCTGGATTTTTAGAAGTATTATTTACTCCCGATATGAGCATTGTTGGCTATGCCAGCAGTTATTATCTATCCCTACTTGCTCTTGATAGGGTGGTGTTTAGTTGACGCTACAGATTGTGTGTATCGTTAGGAACTTCCAGGACTTTGACTCAACAAAGAAAGAATGGCTACATATTTTCAAATCAAAATTATCTGTGCTTTGGAGGGGTAACCTGCAGGCAGTTCAGTTTCCATGTATTTGCTATACTTGTTCATCTAGGCCACAGATTTGGAAGGTGCAGTCATAAATGCCTTGGCAAATTGCTATCGTGAATCATGTACATGGTATACGCTGTGACCATTGTGCATCAGCAGTAGAGGAAGTGAAGTTTTGAAGTGGAGGGTCGGGTGCTAATCATATCACTTGCTTTGACAAGGATGTTGTCAGTTTTTCATACTGCAGTTATCCAGGCAAATGATAAATATTCCATCACCTGTGTCCCATAGATGGTCACTAGTTGAAGAATACCTAGCCTCAAACGTTCTCTTGCAGTCACAAGTAATTTTTTTTTTAAATTAAGAATCGATTTGATTGAAATTTAAGTTTTTATGGATAGTGTGCAGAATAGAGAGTGGGCGAAAGTAAGATAGATCAGGAAATCTGTGTGAGTTATGTTCAAGATATTAACAGGAAAAGACAAGATAGATAAAGTTAAACTATTTCCACTGATTGGGGATTCTAGAACTAGGGGCATAGTCTAGGCATTAGGGCCAGACCATTCAGGAGAGATTTTAGGAAGCACTTCTACACACAAAAAGAGTGGGAAATGTTTGGAACTCTCTTCCACAAACGGCAGTGGATTTTGAACCAGTTGTTAATTTTAAATCGGAGAATATTAACTTTTTAAACAAAAATTAAGGGATATAGGCCAAAGGCGGATATGTGGAGTTAGGCCACAAATCAGCCATGACCTCACTGAATGGCAGAACAAGCTCAAAGGGTTGAATGGCCTGTTCCTGTTCCGAGAGGGGAACACGTGCAAAAATTTAAAAACACACTCTTCAGGATTGAGGTAAATACATTTACAACTGAAAGGTATCTGTTTAAAACTCTCTTCTGTTAATACTTGGTCGATTGTTAATTTTAGATCCGAGTTTGACAGATTTCGGTCAACTAAACATATTAAAGGACACGGGCCAGATGTGGGTGGGGAGGTTTAGGTCACAGATGAGTCACGGTGTCAAAGAATGACAAAACAGATTTGAAGAGCTAAAATGCCTACTCCTACGTATTTGTACATTCAAGTCTTTAGTGAGTTAGTTTAGCTCAACCATTGCAATAATGATAAATTGTATCAGCAGTCAAATGGACGCATTGCATGAAAGAAAATAACTTCCGTTATGAATGGGAGTACAATGAATATAACTCTCATTGTCGTCTGGTTTAACCATCACAAAGAATTACCCCATCATCTGCAGAACTCCTGAGCAGGAATCAGCTTGGTTGTTGCTGCATGGCATATCATTAATCTAATGCAAAAATATCACTATTAGATCCCTCAGCAAATCCTAAAAAATGAAATACGCATTTCAGCCATGAGACATCATTAAGGACACAAAAATGCTAAAAGATTTCAGAAGTGTGCTTTCACCATAAAAATAATTATCACTTACTTCTGAACTTTTGGATATTTCATTTCTGCTATTGCATTTGTGGAGTCCATTTGCTTCTCTTTTAAATGTCGCGGCCACACGTTGTCCACCCAGTCCACCAAGTCCACCTGAAACAAACAGTGAACAGTGGCGGAAATCAGTAAATAAGAAAAAAAAAGAGAAATGAGATCACGTCAGCTCCAGAAGCCATCGATGTCTGTCAAAGTTCACATCAACGTGCTTCGTTCATCTTTAGTTCACAAGTGGTTTCAGTATGGCCGGCCTCCACCATTCACACAAAAATGACATTTAATTCAACTCAAAAGGCAAGCAGGTTTAGTAAGAATAGAACACTTATACATATATTGACTAGCAGTGAGTGAATTAATTACAATAACATGTCAATTTTATACAGCAATGATCCTGAAGTGTAAATATCAACCAAGTCATAAGAAAAATCCATCACACCTGTTGTCTTTTATGTTGAAAATTTATTCGCTATGTCCATTGCCATCAGGATAAAGAAGCTTTAAAAATTAAAAATATATCTTGCAAAGCACTTCATTTCAGAAATTCTGAAAAATGCTGTTAAGTAATAAGGGAAAAAAACATCTAACTTAGAAAGCAGAAAACACTGATAAGCATTGCAACCAAAGCCTGATGCTGTCCGCAACCAACAATCACACAGGCAAAATCCAACAGGGTTCACTGGATAATGAACAGGAACAGGCATCTTAGCTAATTGTCCACTTTAAAATAAAGCAATAATAGTGGCAATTACAACACTCTCACAACCATCAGGTCATCCAACGTTTGCAAGATCTAAGTGAAATTTTTTTTGCCCATTTGTGACCAAATGCATTCATGCAGTCCCATTTCATTTTAAGACACCAAACTTAGTTCATGCCAAGTGCCTCAAAAACAATTAAACTCATTCCCCAAGCATAGAACCCTCAGATTTGGGGAACAACACCAACCAGCATTTAAGTTTACTGCATTCATTAAGTTTAAAGACATTAGTATCCTGACTTGGACAAATATTGCCTTTCTTTTATTGGTGCTGAGCCAGAATCCTGGAATTTCTAATCTAACATTACTGTGGGAGCATCATTGCTAGAAGGACTGCTGTGGTTCAAAAGTCATGGATGAAAATAATCAGCTAAAATGATTCACTTAAAAAGCTCAAAATAAAAATTTGTGAACAAAATTTATGAACACAGGATTAGTCTTGATAGCTACCATTGTCACTCAGACCAAAATGGTATCTGCTCCTTGCATACTTTTGCCATAAGTCACACTGACACGAATGCATACACAGAATACCTGTCAAAGGATGCAGGTTGATACATCAATTGAACACTACTGCCACCATTTTGGAGTTCAAGCTATTTTTTATTTGACCTATTCAGGGATGTTATTACACACCTCTGGTGAAGGTGGGACCTGAATCCAGGCCTCCTGTTCCAAGAGGTACCTTACCACTGCACCACTGATATTTTAGAGAACGAGGCTACATGCTCTCTTAATCTCACCAGTTGAGCACATGCTAAGCAGCACAAAACAGTTGCACTACCTTCCTACTCACTAAAATCACCATCAAGATGTATTATTTGTTGCTTTCTTCTGGCTGTTGGTACAAGTTGGCACGTGTTTAATGTTTTACATTGATGTTTCAAATTGTACCAATATATAGGCAGTGGTGTGGGAGACAGTGAACAAAGTTTTGCTGAATTCAAGGCTTCTGTAGCAACCAGTTGTTCCCAGACATGGATGCACTAAGTAAGGCTTCCTCTTGAACAATGCACGTCTGGGAGCAGAGGAGGAAGAGCACAAGTTGCTAACTGGGAGGAGGGATATCAGTAAGGTGAGAAGCAGTTATGTTCATTGGTGATGCATGATGTGTGGCAGCATTCACGACTCTGTAGATATCAAAGTATTCCATGTACATCTGCAACAGGAAGACCTGGACTACATTAGGGATTGGTCCAATAAGTAGCAAGTAATGTGTGTGCCATACAAGTGCGAAGCATGACTATCTCCAGCAAGAGGGAATCTACCATCTCCCTAAGACATTCTATCCCTCCATAATCAACATCCTCAAGGTTTGCCAGTCACCAGAAACTGAACTGGACCAGCCATATAAATACTGTGCCTTCAAGAGCTAGTGAGTCTAGCAATTCTGCTGCAAGTGACTCACCTCCTGTCTTCTCAAAGCCTGTCGATAAGCTACAAGATACAAGTCAAGAGTCTGATGGAATATTCTCCACTTGCCAGGATAAATGCAGCTCCAGTAACACTTAGGAGAAGGCAGTGGTTTGAATTCCACCATGGCAGATGATGAAATCAGAATTCAATAAAAATCCGGTATAAAACACTAGCCTAACAGCATCCACGTAACCACTGTTTATCATCGTAAAAACCTAGCTGATTCGCTGATGTCCTTCAGGGAAGGAAATCTGCCATTTTTACCTGGTCCAACCGACATGTGATTCCAAATCCACACCAATATCATTTACACTTAATTCCCCTCTGGCAATTAGGGATGGGCAATAAATGCCAGCCTAGCCAGCAATGCCCACATCCCACATAAGAATAAACAAAAGACTGTACTATATCTTAGAATCATTTCAATATGCCAACTTAATTTCAACATTTGATCAGCATGATTTCTGGACCTCTGGCAATTGTCGTAATGTTGTTGGGTCCTTTTTCCTATTGTCACCTCAGTTTCTAAACTATAACCCCTGCTACTTGTTTGGTGAACCAGTTTGCCCCAGTCTTCTAATTCTTGGACAAAGACTCAAATTTGAACCTTTTGCAATCACAGACAATCAAAAATACAAAAAAAACCTGTAAAATCTTGAATAGATACACAAAAAAAATCTGGCTAAACAAACACGAGTCCATTAAAGTCAAAGTAAGAGCATTTATATTTGTGCAAAAAACCCCCAGAAGTAAAGATCCAAGTAGCTAACAAGAATGAGGAGTTGAAGGAAATTAGTAAAAAGACTGTACTGGAGACAGTAAGAGGACTGAAAGATGATAAATCTCAAAAAACAAATTGGTCTTCATCTTAGAATGTTGAAAGAGGTGGTTAAAGGACAGTCAATGCATTGGTGATTGTCTTCGAGAATTATACAGATTTTGGAATGATTCCTGAGAAATAGAAGATACCAAATGACACACCACTATTTAAGAGGGAAGGGAGCAAGACAGAAACAGCAAACTACAGACCTGATGGCCTTACATCAATAGCAGGGAAAATGCTAGAATCTATTTTAAAGATTGATAATGATATGACTAGATTTAGTCAGCATGGATCTGTGAATAGAAAATTGTGTTTGAAGATGTTACTAACAAAGGTGCTAAAGTAAAGCTGGTGAACATGAAATACTTAGACTTTCAGAAGGCTTTTGATAAAGTCCCCCAAAGGAGACTGGTTAGAAAGATTAAAAGTGTGGGATATTTACTGGCATGGATTAATGGTTGGAAAACATATAGAAAACAGAGCTAGAATAAATGGATCAATCTCATATTGGCATGCTGTGCTTAGTGAGGTATCACATGAATCAGTATTTGTTCAGATGGCTGTTCAGTCTTTGAGTATGTTTTAAGGGGTACAGATTGATAGATTTCTAATTAATGGTGGCATACAGGGTTTTGGGGAGAGGGTAAGTAAAAAGGCACTGAAGCATTCAATCAGCCATGATCATATTTAACGGCAGAGCAGACTCGACAATTTGCACTGCCTACTCTTGCACCTATGCTCCTTTGTAACGAGTCATTAACTTCTAGTTCTTCCAAAAAAGTAGACCTTGAAGTATAAAGCTGCACAAGGAGTTCATTTCTATGGCTGAGCTACCATTTTTTCTAGAAAAATGACAGTTATGGCTGCCACCAAGAACTCAAGCTTAGGACAAAAGAAACCAAGAACTACAAAATGTTTGGAGTAATTCTGGGTTGCTATAGACAGGACAGGATTGGTATGTTCCTGTTTGCTTATGTTCAGAGTTCCAATGTGCTCCTGTAAAGAAACAAGCTGAAAGTAACAGCTTTTAAACCTCATGTTTGGGTAACGGTTCTTGTATGAAGATCTACTGACTGCACTGCAATTTCCATAAAGACAGGCAGAAAATGTATCTCATCACAAAGACAAAGGTTTTTCAAACAAACAAACAGTCATATTGTCGACTGAAATTATGTTCTAGTGGGTCCTTCAGACTTGATTCCCTAGGTTCAATCTTGGATCTGTGAACTAACTGGTCTTCACCAGGAGCAGAAGTAGACCGTTTTCAGCCCCTCGTGCCTGCTCTACCATTCAATAGGATTTATGGCTGATCCAATAGTCCTCATATCCACTTTCCTGGTTTTTCCCCATAACCCGTGATTCCTCTACTGATCAACAGCATGTATATATTTAAGGCTGACATAGATAAGGATACACTTTTTGACTTTGTCATCTTAAGTTGGACAAAAAGAGAAAGAAAGAAATCGCTTGTCGTTTTGATTCATAATCACTAGGCAGCTGATAACTGGGCTGCGCTGTGATTCCCTCCATTGCTACAGTATTCTATCTGTGCAGGCATAAATCAAGCTGGATGACTGAGCAACATACAGTAAGCACATCCTATGGAAGCACTGTGCACTATAGCAATCAAGTGAGGTGAAAGAAGTGAGTTCTGAACTATCCAAAGGATTTTTGTAAATCATCTGCCATAACACTGATCACCTGGAGATAACCTAGAACACAAGAAGAGCAAGTGTTTATATAGCGACTGCATTTATGGCCTACACACTGCAGTGACAGTTACTATGACATCCTATGCGCAGAGTGGAAGACGGATCTGGGAGCAGGAGAGCTGAGCAGTTTGAGAGATCAGGACAACAGAAATGTGAGCACGTGCAGAGTGGGCAAGGGTTCCAAAGAAACCACGCACATAGATATAAGTGGAGTCATCGCTGGCTCTAGGTGCAAATCACTGACTCAAAGATTTCAGAAACGAGATGAGGTTATCCACACAAAAATATCCTGGTGAAAAAGGCTCTATCACGGTGGTCAGAGCATCTGAAATGCATAAGTGATAACCATTTTGCTAGCACTTTGGTTTTGGCAACAAGCACTCTATTA